TTGCAAAGAGAGAGAGAGAGAGAGAGAGAGAGAGAGAGAGAGAGAGAGAGAGAGAGCTTAAAACCCAACAATGAATTTTTAAAAAAGTTGGCAGGCTAAATAAGAAAAAAAACCTGCGTAAGGGGAATCAACTAACAAGAAATGAAAGAAATGGCGGAACACAAAACTGGGAGTGATGAGCTAGGAAGAGTCAGTATTTTACAGAAGGTGGCACAAGTAGTTGTTCATTTCTCGGACGGGTAAAAAAAAATTCAGGCACGCAAGCACCAACCACCACCACCACCACCATCATCACCATCACCATCACCATCACGACATTGGTATACATCTATTTATCTTTAAATCAAAGCACACCCGTTTGTACTTGTTATTATTCACCACTATGCACCATATAATTGTTACATCCGCTGTGGTTCTTGCCTTCATAGCTACTACGGTCTATGGTAAGTCCTTTACCTTTATTATTATTATTATTATTACTAACACTTTTTTTTAACGATTTTTTTTTTTCGTTCCTTCCTTCAAACCTTTTTTTTGTTTTTAAAAAATTGAAATAACAAAAGCTACAATTTAATAATATATAAATCAAAACGAAATAATTAATATCGATAAATTGAATGACGTAATATTGATAATAATAATCATAATAATAATAATAATAATAATAAAATACAATTAATTCGTTATTAACCGTTTTTTTTCAAATCAGTTCTCTAAAAATTTAATTTTATTACTAATTTTTTACCTCGTAATGAATATAGATACGAAAAGATTAATAATCTATTTTAATAAATTATGTATATTATAAACAATAATTAATTAATTAACCGGAATTTAAAAATAATAATTTATTAAATAAAAAATTATTATTATTTTTTTAAATAAATAAATAAATTTTTTTACATAAAAGTTTCTTTCGAACCGTTACGAATTAAAACAAAAAAAAAAACAATTAAAATTTATTTATTTATTTTTAAATAATTTATTAACGACCGAATCTCTCTCGTAAAATTAATTTCACGAGTGAATGAATGAATGAATGAATGAATGAATGAATTAAATAAATTAACCAAGATAAAAAAAGTGTTAAAATTTTTTAGCATCTGTTTTTTTCTTTTTTTATCTTAATGTCACACGTGAATTATAATAATAATAATAATAATAATAATAATAATAATAATAATTTAATGAGAAAAAAAGGGCCCTTTGTAAACTTGCGTGAAAAAAAAAAAAAAAATGGTGTTGATGATGATGATGATGATGATGATGATAATCAATCTTAATAATATTATCGTATTGTATGTTAAAAAAAAAAAAATGACTACGCCAGGTATGTAAGGTGTTTTTCTTTGTGTTAAAAAAAAAACGAAGGTACGAAATGATTGTACAAAGTGTAATCTATTTAATATAAACAAAGCAGAAGACAAAGTAACGACTAAGGTTCGTGGTCCGTGAAAAAAAAAGAAAATGCCTTAAAGTCAAAAAATTACTTTTCTCATGTTAATAATAATAATAATAATCGTGTTATTCGTATAATTTGTTATGGGAAGGCAATAACCGAGGGTGACCAAAGTCATTTTCTTTTTTTTTTTTTCCCGAGCTTTCAAATTATTATTATTATTATTATTATTATCATCATCATCATTATTATTATTATTATTATTATTATTATTATTATTATTATTATTATTATTTGGAAGAAAATTACATTGAATCATTCTGTTAATTAATCGCATTTTTCAACGTAATTGCAATTTCCTTTTTGTAACTATATTTTTTTATATACAATACGAATTTTTTTTTTTTTTTATATATAAAAAATAATAATGATGATGATGATGATGATGATTACTTAAAGTAATTTTTTCACACGATACGAAAATTATAATTGATTAAATAATTTTTCGAATGCCATCATTATAAACCTTTTTTTTTCATTTTTTTTTTCATAATGAAATGATGATGATTTTTTTTTGTTTGTCGCATAAAAAACCGCGTGCCTTTTTTTTTTTTTACTTTGTAAAAAATAATAATAATAATAATAATATTAAAGAAAAAAAAATATATATATAGGTACGCTAAGGTTTTTAACCGAAGGCAATTTAACAATAATAATAACTTTTTTTTTTTTTTTTTTCTAATGACATAAAAAATATATAACGCGTATAAATTTTTATTTTTATTTTTTTTAAATCGGGGGAAAAAATTAAAAGTGTACCTGAGGGGGGGAGGGGGAGGGGAAAAAAAAGTAATCAATGATATTATTTAATAAATTAAACGAAAGAAAAATTAAATTTTTTTTTTTTTTT